TAAACAAATTTATGTATAGTGGGTCCAAAGAATACGTATCATTCTGTAAATTCAAACTCTTTTTTGACAACCTATTTTTGATTTCAGTAAATATGAGTTTCAGTGAATTTCCATTGTTTAAAAGAATTTTTATTACTAATTCAAAATTCTCTTGATGGTAAACAGGGTGGGACAAAGATAGAACTCTCAATTAAACCAATGATTGTTGATTGTTCCCACTTTTGGCATAAAGGATGTCTAGAAAAATAATTAAAATAACGATCAGAAAAAGTAGTGATTGTGATACCAATTTTGAACAAGAGAATTTCCTTTTTTAATTAAACTGATATCAAAAAAATCTAACCTGTCCCCACCTCAGTAGTAAATTTTAATCTGGAATGGAATGAATTGAAGGTGTTCACCAATGTATCAATGTGTGACGCATCATATGCTAACGCAATATCATCAACATACTTTACATAAAAGGATGGTGTAATTGGAAGTCTCTGTAATGCTTTCATTTCAAAGTCTTGCATGACAATATCCGACACGATAGGTGATAACGGTAAACCCATCGGAACACCAAAAGTCTGTTTATAAAATGTGTCGTTGAAACTACAAATTGTTGAATTAAGAACTAATTCCAACGCTTTTAAAAATTCACTTTTGGGAATGTTTATTTTTCTTTCAATGAGATGCCATCTTCTCTCTATGCCTGTAAAAACCAAATCAATAGGTATATTTGTAAATAACGAAACCATGTCAAGAGATAAAAGAACTTCGTTGTCAGAGATTGTTAGATTAGGAATATGTTTAGTCAAATGAAAACTGTTTTTAATAAAACTGTTTGCTACTGGTATATTGTAATACATTTAAAAAAAGAGGCTAGATTATAGAGAGAGCTCTCCAGAAGAAATTATGATATGAAGTGGATAACCTATCTTGTGTATTTTCGGAAGACCATATGCAAGAGGCGCAACAAGATTTAAAGCGTTCAATTTATGCTAAGATTTATTATAAACTGAATTCTCAACAAAACCGCGCTGTTTCCATCCCTTTAATAATGTCTTAAGTTGTGTTAACAATTTGTTAACTGGATTATGTGTCAATAAGTCTTAGTATCAGTGTCTTATAAGTCTCAGACAGTAGAGTTTCCATTTTTTGTACGTATTCTGTCTTGTCAAGTGTCACCACCATATACCTTTATCCGCCCTTGTAAAAATAATATGTGGATTGCTTTAACAAATGCTGTCGTTGTCTTGATTAAAGAAAAAATTATCTTCTCTACGTTAGTCTTATTAGCACATGCTTGCTTTATGCCTTGATTAAAGGAAAAATTCTGTTTCTAAATTTCTTAATGTTTGATAATTTTAATCTGGCAAAATTATGTTCGATGTGTTTTATAAATTCAATCATGGTGTTTCTAATGTTGAACGTTGGCAAGCAGAAATTCTCACCTAATTGTAATAATGCTTTAACTTCCCATGGTATAATAGCATTGCTAAGATTTTTGAACTATTTGTCATTTACTTCGAAGATGTCATATCAAATGTATTTAAATTGAAATGATGATTGTCGGTCTTTCAACGTAATCAATCTGAAATATAAATAATACCCCCAAATTTTCCAAATTTAATCTTAAAAAATTGTAATATATATTGCCACGCAATTATCATTTCTGAAATTAATTTATTTAAATGAATATATATAATCAACATTTTAACATTCAGACCGTAGCGGCGCTTCGTATTTAAAGTTATTTATTTTATTTGTTAATATTTTTTCATTACAATACTAAAATTTGGAAAGCATATAATGACAAAATTAATTTAAACTTTTTTTTGTATAAGTACTGTAAGTATTTAAAATACAGCTATAAGTTTCATTGCGACGCAAAAATTAGATGTTTAATAAAATAAGAAAACAATATATTTTATGTTAACAATAACATAAATTAAAAGAAGAGCTGATGAGCCATGGGGAATCAAAACAAACTCCCTCCACGTCTCCCTCCGGCGCCGTGGGCGCGGCCTAGACGGGTCAGTCTGGAGAAAGGGCGCGTTCTGATTGGTCGAGGAGTGAAGGGAGGGGGTAATAGGGTAATTAAATGGTGTGTTCTGATTGGTTCGCTCCATACTCAAAAGGTGATTGGAGAGGGTGGGTGGTAGAGAGCCTTAGACAAAATGGAGGTTTGAAAAATGGTGAGGAAATTGGGACTGCAGTATTCTTTTGTCGCGAGGTTAGAGTATGAACAGCGGGGGATGAATAGCGGTCGAATTTTATGACGGTCGCTTTTTTTGTCGCGGGGCAACGTCTCCGACGTGTAGGCGATTCAGTGAATGTTATTAATGCATGAGAAAGGAGATCTTATACGAAAATTTGCGGGCCTAGAGAGAGACTTGCTTTGTTCGGAAGAATTTTAGGGAGGTAAAACAGGAACGAACATGTTCAGCAGTTGCGTCGTGTCGTCTCCGGTGTGACGACTCACTCGTTCGAGTGAGAGTATGATTTCTATGGTGTATGGCAAGGATTTTATGAATTGTATTGTACTTCTTATACTTTATTTAAAAGTTTATATATATATTATATAACGTGGAAATAAGCAGAGAAAAAAGTTGGTTATTGGAAGGTACGAGTAATTAAGAAACGAGGGTTTATGTTATAAAAATATATTTATTGATACAAATTTTTTTCAAAGAAGAAGAGATACATACAGTTTGTATAAGAATAAACTAAAAACGTTTTAGTAAAATTAAGCCAAAGATTTCCGCTTCGAGAGAATTATATGAAAAATTTCGTTATATCTTAACGAAGTTATTATAATTCCAAAAATATAATATTATATTGAAATACATATCAAAAAAAGCTAAGTCGTTAATTTGTGAACGCACATTACGTTTTATATCTTCATAATTACCACGCAGTGTTAATTTTAAATTTCCTGATTAATAAAACATGCGGGTAATTTCAGTTCGATTTCTTGAATTAAATATAAAGCACACTTATTAACATTATCGGATAAAAATTCTAATTGTTTTAAACGCACTTTACAATGCTTTGCAGCCCGAGAAAGGTGGTTTTCTGCATTACAACTGCCGCTACGTAGGTTCTCCGTTTTTTCGCCGGAGGAGTTGAATCGAGCGCGTCCTCTTCTTTTCGAAAATTTTCGTTGGAATTTTCCTCTTCTTCTTTATACGCTAGCAATATTGATTTTGACCCGTAAGATGTGGTAAAGCTGATGGTGATACTTTTTATAACAATAAAATTAGGTTTCACTCTGTTATCGCTGCTTAAATATTTGTTCATGAGTTCCATGTTATCTTGAAACTGTTGCCAGCAGTCGGCGTCAAAATAAATTCCGTCTGCGTTATGTCCGCTCAATTTTACAACAGGTTTGAAGATTTCTTCGTTCGTTCTTTGCAATCCTACGTGAATCATCTTCGTATGAGAATTGTTAAGACCATACGATGTTGCTAACAACATATGAAATCGAGCATTTCTTCTCTCGTTGATGTCGTTACGTAGCTTGTAAGAATCGGGGATGGAGTACATGCTCACGTCCGAATTATTAGTATTTTTTGGACTGGCCATTGTTCTTACGTTGTGAAGTAATACCAAATTCAGCAAACTAAGATGGCGAATAAAAAAAAACACAAGAAGCACAGTACTTGACGAGACTCGAATGAACGGATTTTCGTTAGTACCGTCGACATCACCACCCTCTCCGACGCTGCGTAATAAAATTATTCTGCGCGCGCAGATGAAAAAAATAAAAACAAACTTTCTTTAAATTTTTCTTAAAAATTTAAAATAATCTTTACCCCGTAGAAGTCAGGAGAGGGGGTGAGAACAAGATAAATCGAGAACAAACAGGAATGAACAGGCGCGAAACGAAAGGTTATACGATTCCTCTCCTCATTTTCTATGTCACGACGGGGAAGGAAGGAATTCGTCCAGGTGAAAAGAATGAAAATTTTTTGCTATAAAGGAAAAAAGAATTGTGGGGTTTAGGATCGTGGGATAGTTTCTAACGAATAAGATTTAGTACAACAATAACCGACTTTCTTTTAAAAAGACAAGAAGAAATTTATGAAACGTCTTCGCTTTAAAATAAATTTACGAATGGTTTTATTGCTTTTAGAAAATTCATTAATTTAAAGTGACAGATGTACGGCACAAAAATGTAGAATTCAATTGGAATAATGTAGGAAATTTATTCGTCTTCCTCTTTTCGAACTTTTGTGTATACTCGCGTGGGAAAAAATAACTTGTAGTATAATATTATATATGGAAATTTAGAAGATACAAAAATTAAATATTAGTTATATTGATAAAAACGTGAGACAAATTTTAAACGAGGGGAGTGTTCAATGTTCACCATGATTTTTCCTCATGACGAGACTTGAAGAAGAAAAAACAAACAAAAACCAACTGATATTGTCGATCAAGCGAGACAGAAATTTCCATTAAAATTATATTTTTTGCTGTAAGGTTTAATGTTTATCAGTCGTAGATTAATATTGTGTGAGAATCCTTTCCAATAAGAAAATACAAAAAGCAGAAGGAAAAATTTAAAACATGAGATTCGTCGTAATAATAAAAATTGTAAAGCGAGGCAAAACTTCTCTGGGTAATAATGAAAACGAGAGCTAAAGGTTTTATTAGGGTAAAAGCGAAAGGGGGGGGGGCGATGCTTTTCGTGATAATTTGTATGGGATCAGAAAAGGTGTTAGATTGGTTATAGGGATGCTCATAACTTAAAAGTTTTTGTCATCCCCGCTTCTTTAAATTTTATGAGAAAATCACTTCTAGTAAAGGAGGCGGTCGATTACCAAAATCGTCAAAAATCTATCGGCCTATGAAGGAACTAAGAATTTTTAGCGAATCTTTTCGTGGAAGAGGAATTTTTATGAATATCGCTACAAGCATAAATAGCACGCCCTGATCGAGCTAAAGTTTAGTCTTACGTTCAAACTCTGAAGTGAATTTTACAATTTGTGTGTTTTTAATTTTGCTTAAAAATGGAACTTCGCAGGTTGCTAGGGAAATTTTTCATCGTAGTTAGCAACTTAAATAAAAAATCAGTTGCTGGCGATTATCTGACAAAGTTGTCAGATAACGATGAAAAAAATTATTCCGTTTTCGGGAATTTTGTTGGTGAGTGCTCCAGTACACTAGTGTGTGTTATGCACAAACTAGGGCATTGCGGTGATGACGAGAGACTAAAAAATATAATCGCACGTCATCTCGAAATACGCGAGTGCTTTGGTCACGAGGAGGATGACGCTGGAAGTCACATAGCTGACTTCAAGCGACGCATTGGACTAAGAGGTAAGCAGTAATAATTTTTAAAATAGAATCTAATACATATTAGAAATAAAAGCTGACTTTATAATTAATAAATATTATAATTAAATTATAATATTTATTTCATAGAAGCCGGCAGTATTGTGGAGCGTGCGATACCGCATTGCAGGGGTCGGCCAGTAGGACGACTCGCTTTAAGGAGTCGTCGCCCTGCGGGAGAAGAAGAGGAGGGAGTACCAGCGAGTAAGTTTTAGAGAAATAAATATTAACTAATCGATTATAGAAATCCCGAATATTAAAATATTTTATTTTTTTCTAGGAAGAGCACGAATCGAAGAGGAAAACAATGTTCCGCCTCCGCATGACGTCCCCGTCATTGTAATCGGTAGGTATTTCGCAAATACCCAAGAAATCTAGTTCGTATAATATAGATGTAATATGCGATAAAGAATAAAATCAATTTTGTTTTAGATGATGATGATGACGTTGATGACGATAACATTGATGGGGATGACGGTGTGAGTCCAGCCGATTCCAGAGCACTGGTCTCACTGGGTTCCACAATTTTCATAACGTGTAAGTTTTAAAAAAATAAATTAGATGAATATATCAAGAGAGTTAGCTATATACAGAGTTAAAAAAATAATAATAATAAAAATTACTTTTTAGCTCAGGAAACTGAAGAGGAATTGATACAGGAAGAAGTGGAGGAGGAAGAGCAAGAGGAAGAGCAGGAGGAGGAAGAGGAAGAAGAGGAGGATAGCATTATCGATATTGATGATAATGGTGATGATGATGATGATGATGATGATGATGCCGATAATGATGACATCGACGATAATGCTGCCGATAACGTGAAAGTCATCTCCGAGAATATCAACGTCAATGATAACGGCGATGATGGAGAGGAGGAGGAGGAGGAGAAGGAGGAGGAAATAACACAGGAGACAACAGAGAAAGAAGGTAGCAGATATTACGTGCCTTTTGGAAATGAAGGTAATAATTTTTTTATTTTTTATTTTAAACAATATAATTGGAAACGAGACCGTTTATATTAAAACTTGAAATAACGAAGGGCCTTACCGGTCCGAGAGTTAAAATGTTGAACTACTATATAATATACATTCATTTAAATCGAATTAATTTTCAGAAATAAATTGCGAACCGATGAGATTATCGGATTCACACAATTAATCTGAAAAAAATAATCCCCCCAAAACATCCTAATTCTTAAAAAACTGTAATAAACTTATTGCGAAAAATAAGCCGATAATCTCAGCAGCAGCAGCAGCAGCAGCAGCAGCAGCAGCAGCAGCAGCAATGTCGGGGGAATATGGTGGATGAGGCAAAACATCCCAGCCAAGCGCCAATAATTTTCCACCTTCAATTTATCCAACTGTGAACAATACTTGTCCGAATCGATGGTTTCGTTGTTCGGTAGTAGCTCATAGTACACTATTCCTTTCCAATTCCACCAAATGCAGAGCATTACCTTCTTTGGATGTAAACCTGCCTTCGGAGTGGTCGATGGCGGTTCACCTCGCTTGCTCCATGACCTTTTACGCTCGACATTATTATAAATTATCCACTTTTCGTCGCCTGTTATGATACGCTTCAAAAATGGATCGTATTCGTTGCGTTTGTATAGCAAATCGCTGATGGAAATGCGATCAATACGATTTTTTTCAGTTAAGTCGTGCGGTACCCAAACCTCAAGCTTTTTTATAATCTGGAGCTTGTTTAAATGTTCGGAAACAACTGATTTGCCAATGTTTAACCTTGCTGCGATTTCCCGAACTGTGATTTGCCGATCGGAATCGATTAAAGCTGTAATTTGGTCGACATCGGTGGTGACTGGCCGGCCAGAGCGAGGAGCATCTTCAATATTCATTTCTCCTGAACGAAATTTAGCAAACCACTTCTGGCACATGCGATCACTTACGGCATCTTCCCCGTATACGGCACATATTTTTTTTCGAGTTTGTGTCGTGTTCTTGTCTTTGCGGAAATAAAAAAGCGTTATGCATCGAAAAACCACGTTATTTCCTTCCATCTTTAAGCTGATTTCAAGTAAACCGTTTTTAATTTATTGGGATAATGAATATCACTAATTATGCTTTGAAATGTCACTAATCAAAACACGAAAGCATCTGACACATCGCATCGACATAAACATATGATATTCGCCTTCAAACGACATCTGTTGAGAAATACGCACGAACTTTCCGGACAACCCAATACCTATGCGATTGTCGGAGTTACCCAAGGCTTTCGGGCTGCAGGATACTCTGGGCAAAAGTTTGTTTCCTCATTTGTTTAATACGTTGAACAATCAAAATTATATTGGTCCAATACGTGACGCACGATATTATTCGCCCGTTGTTTTTGGCATGGTTGTCCCAGCTGTTATCAAATCAATCGCGAAAGAAAACTTACGTCCGGGGTGTCGCGCGAAGGTACAATCGACGCACGATACGAACGAACTCTCGCAATGACATGGCGTCTTCGACAACGAGGATATAGGGTGATAGAGAAATAGGAGTGCAAATTTTTACGAGAAAAGCGCGAAAATCACGAGATACGCACTTTTCTCGAAAGCCATCCGATATTGATCAACTCTCCTCTCGACCCTCGCGAGGCGTTCTTTGGTGGTCGTACGGAAAATATCGTAACTCGATACGAAGTTACAGGTACGGAGAAAATACGCTACATGGATGTATGTTCTCTGTATCCATACATATTAAAAACGGGTACTTTCCGTTAGGCCAGCCAACGATTTATATCGGAGAACAGTGTTCGGAGCTGATTGGCGCAGCTCCGAATTTTAATTTCGATTGTGTCGAGGGTATCATTCGGTGCACAGTACTTCCTCCACGCGATCTTTTTCACCCTGTACTCCCGTACCGCGTACAAAGTAAATTGTTGTTCGGGCTGTGCCGTAGTTGCTGCGAAACGTTCTCGCAGGCCGAGTGCACTCACGATCTCCCCGCCGATCGTGAATTCGTAGGAGCGTGGATATTCTGCGAATTGCGCAAGGCTTTCGAGAAAGGTTATCTCGTAACGAACGTGAGCGAAATATGGCAGTTTAAAGTCACGCGGTTCGATCCTCGTACGAAGCAGGGTGGTTTGTTTGCCGAATATATCAACAGTTTTTTGAAATTAAAGCAGGAAGCTAGCGGATGGCCGAGCGAATGCCTGGATGACGAGAGTAAGGAACAGTACCTTCGGGAATACGAAAAAACCGAAGGTATTGTTCTCGATAAAAATAATATCGCCCGAAATCCTGGTTTACGGTCGGTCGCAAAGCTCTGCCTGAATTCTTTCTGGGATAAATTCGGCCATCCAATCTGCCTAATGCAGAGATCGAAAAAAATACGATTTGGCAGCGTTGCTCACGAGTTCAGAGCACGAAATAACCAATATATTACCTGTCAACGAGGTAATATATGTTTCGTGACGACTAAGCGAAGAGACGGTTGCCTCCTTCTCTGCAAACCAACCCGGTAATCGCGGCTTGGACGACGGTACAAGCGCGACTAATATTATATAAATATTTAGAGAAGTTAGGTAGTCGCGTTTTATATTGTGATACAGACTCGTGTATCTATGTAAACAGAGGCGAACAGAGCGAGTACGAGTCGCGTATGGAAAATTTTCTGGGCGATATGAAGGACGAGCTCGAGAGCTACGGCCGGGGCAGTTTTATCGAATCGTTCGTGTCCGGAGGCCCGAAATTCTACGCGTACGTCGTTCGTACACCGGAAGGTCGCCGACACGAGATCTGTAGAGTTAAGAAAATAATGTTAAATTATAAGAACTCGTGTATTATAAATTTTAATAGTATTAGAAAATTAATAATAGATAGATGAGAGAGAAAGACGCGATGAAGAAGAAGAAGAAAAAGAAGAAACGGACGGGGTAGCGATAAATTTGCGTTTTAGCGCAATTCATCGCACAGCGTTTCACGAAATCGTAACGCGAAACGAAACGAAGACGTGGGCACCGGTATTGGTAAAACATAAATTTATTAATAATCGTTATTCCCTTCCGTATGGCTTCAGAAGAGAATAACGTCTTCTTCTTCTTTTTCTTTCTCTCACTTATATTTTAAGCTCGCGAGTTTTCCGCTTATTCATGTAGTATAATATTTAAGTATTATGTAAGAAAAACATAAATATAAGTTTTTTTGTAAATAATAAATAGTCTAAGTATCCCTCTTTTACGAAAAAAGCATTTTATTAAATTGTATCAAATAATTTAATGTAAAAATGTAAAAATAAAAAAATGTAAATATTTAATTATAATAAAAATATATTATATTATTTCTAAAAATAATTGAATTTTATGTATAAGAGTTAGCAAAAATATAAACAAAAAAATTTTAAATTACATATGTTTCCTTTTCTCCTTTCCTCTTTTTTTAGGAAAAGTATCGAATAAAAATATTTTTTTACTTGAAGGAAAATAAGAAGTGATTTATTACTTAATTCTAACCAACCTTTTTTTTTCCGATTTCAATAAAAAGCTTTTCCTCGCAGCGACATCGCGGTAGTGGCATTGGTAAGCTTATCGACGACGATGTCGCGTACTCATTTAACGATAGAAATATACACCGATCGCAAATCTCTTTGACGCGCGCGAAGATAAGCTTATGCGTCGCGCCGCGGTGAGATCAGCTTTTCGCCAGCCGCGGTGCTCTTCGCTGACAAGCTCACGCGGGGGTACGCTGGCACGAGCACTCACCCGCCGCGCGAAGGGGGCTCTGTCGTCGCGTTGATCAGCTTATCTTCTCTTAAAATTATTTTTTTCACGCGTTCTAGAAATCAACGAAAATGACGTTTTTCCTTTTTGCTTTTGAAATTGCGCACGAAAATCGTTTGCTCATTTCGTAAAATGGACGTGCGTTGGAAACATCCTTGGACGTCGATCGTATGCGGACCGACTAGTTGTGGGAAGACGGTCTTCGTGAAGGCTTTTCTCAGGAATTTATCTCTCATGTCCGACGTGTGCTTCGAGAGAATTTTGTTTTATTACGCGGAATGGCAAGAAGCCTATCGTCGATTACAATACGATACGCGTAAAAGAACAGCCCTGGGGATGTAGCAATACTAAAACGGCGAAGAAGAAGAATATAATTGAATTTCGCGAGGAATTACCCCGTCCAGAAGATTACTCGAACGATCCGCTTTCTCCGAAATTAGTGATAATCGACGATCTTATGAGAGAATCGTCGTCGTGCGACGCGATCGTAAATCTTTTTACCAAAGGCAGTCATCACAAGAATCTCAGTGTTATTCTTATCTCGCAGAACCTATTCCACCAGGGGCGTGGACAGCGCGATATATCGCTTAACGCGAATTATAGTACATCGTCGTTTTCAAAAATCCACGTGATCGTGCTCAAATTCGTCATTTAGCGCGTCAAGTCTATCCCGACGATCCGAAATTTCTAGAAGAGGCATACTACGATGCCACATCGAGGCCTCACGGGTATTTGTTGCTCGATCTGAAACAATCAATTCCGGACGAGTATCGATTTCGAACGTGTATTTTTCCCGAGGATACGTTTCATTACGCCTACGTGCCGCGTAGATCGTTTTCCAGTGGATACGTATAAAAGTTGAATACGGCTAATCGCGTGTATCAGTCGTAGATTTTTCTCGCGATGAAGGTGGATGACGCGAAATCGCACAGAGCGACGAAAATCGCCACACATTCGATCGGTAAGAGAAACGCCTGTCTCCTCGCGGCGCTCTATCATTTGAAAAAAAATCATTGACAAAAATCAACGCACAACCTTCTTACATAGCGCTGATGAAAAATTAATTCGTTGTATCTGTGAATGTGTTTTTAATACACTCAAAGATAACGTCTCTCTCGAACGGAGTGAAAAAAACCGGTTAACCAAATACAGAAAAGCTCTGCGTTGCAAAACGCGGTAATTGGAAGAATAGAAGAAAGCTGTTGGTGCAGCGAAGCAGATTTTTACCCTATATTATCGGACCTATATTATCGATCTTATTATCGCTAATTATCGAAGGAACGAAATAGTAGAGGTAAAACGTTATGGAGAGGGCTAAAAAATGGTTTTAATTTCGATGGAAAATCTGGAGAGAATGCAGCATCAGCTATGTCAGAATCCAACATCGTTCGTTGACGGAGAGTCAAAAGAAATAGCAGTACCGCAAAATTCGGATAACACCTCTAATAACACAAACCCCGGAAACTCATCTAACGACTCGATGCGGAGATGAGTCGTATTCTCAATTTCAGATGGCCTCGTGACGAAAGCGAGAGGTGGAAAATGTACAGAGAGGCATTCACGATCTCACGCAAACATCCGATAACCACCGCCATCATTCCAATAGTAACACAGATATTACAGCAAAAAATTTCGAAATTTCGAGCGAGCATAATCATATGATGAAAAGCATCGAGGAAATACTGGAAAGCGTACCAAAATCTTATCATAAGCATGCACACTTACTGATGAAACATTTGCTTCGAAAAGCTGTGCTCGATAAACTTAGTTGGGACGAGCACGGAATCGTGACTATAGATGGTAACGTCGTGAAAGATTCGAATATCGCTGACTTAATAAACGAAACAATGCGCGAGAGAAAAATCGTGAAAGCAGTGGGTAGAAATCAGTTTGCATTACTCCGTGTGTTGAACATACCTTCTGCACTGGTGAGAAATAAAAGTTTATTGTCCGCACACGCTGATGCTATAAACATCGTAAAACTTCGACCGCATGCGAGTTCCACGCCTGTTATATCGAAAGAGCGAGTTCCATTGTATCGAGAGCCCGAGGAAGCAGAAAAACGTAAAAATTACGAACAAGAAATAGACGAGGAAAGCTCGCTGATTCTTTCTCGCACACGAAAAACTGATACCTCCGTATCTTTGCAAACAGGGAAAAGCCGGTTGCTCGGTTGGAAAAAATTCAGATAACGATGACGTTTGAAAAACTATACTACGATCCGTCGAATTACATATTCGGCGGTGGATAATCTAACTCGCGCCGTTAAACTGAATTTTTCACGGGGAGAGG